CGTTGTGTGGTTGGGGGGGATACAGTTCCTTGTCCTTGCGCACCAAATCGTTGTACATCTGCTCATAGGTGACTTTGAAGTCATACACATTGGGCTTGTCCGGTGCTGGACCAGGTAGCTTCACATGGGTCCCAGTGCCAAATGACTGTACATCAAAACCCCTCTTGCTGCACAGGAAGTTAAGGAGGGAGAGAAAGAAAGATTGCCAGCATTATTCCTGTCCCAGGCTCCTACTAACCCAACTGATCAACAAGACTATGGTTGAGCCCAAAGGAATTTCACAATATTTAAATGCAATGAACATATTTCTGCGAAGTCAATAGAAACTGTGATACAGACAACCACGTAACTCATGCATGTTCAAGTAATTTCAAATCTAAAATATCGGCATTAAAATGTGATGCGTCTGTGATTGAATGACCTATCATTAAACAAAGATCAGGATTTTACTTGTACTAAGATTCTTTCATTGGTAATCAAAAAGGGGACCCATAAAAATAAAATCACATGATATATCATCCTGTGTTTCATAATCAGTTGAAAGCTTGCGCAACTAAAATGAAGAAATGGACATTTTAAAACTATTAGCAGTCCGGACCAATATTAAACTGTATCAAATGTACTGCATAAACAACTGATAGAGATGTGTGATGCAGTGTTCTCAGCTTCGGATTCTTATTCATCTACATATCTTTACTAACACCTGTTGTCCGACTGAGCATTTAACCTCTTACATTTATTGTGAATATTTAATGAGGAACGTTTGTCTCGTTTGACACTTAAAAGCTGTGAAAATAAAGCACCAATTTAGACTGCAAACCTGTGCATGTTATTAACTGATGCGTCATTTATTAGGGCAGCTAACGGACCACCGTGGTCTTTATTACAGACTACAGCCCAGACTTTTTTCTTTATTTAATTCAGTAGTTGAAGCGATTTCATAACAATATACAGTCATGTTGGATCTTTTAATATGACACTTACTGAAGATCCTATACAACTCATTTCTTATTTTACATAAATTTCTGAATTTCGTAAGGGCACAGAAGGACTGGGTGCGAACCAGCAACTTAGATTGCCAGTCAGACTCTACCAACTGAGTCAAACAGCTACTTAAATACGCATTTAACCTCCAGTGATATTTTGCCATATCACTTCAATTGCCTTGTTAACAGTAGTACTGTTGCCTAGCCAGTAATTACATCCTTGTAATCCTCATAAGTACATAACCAGCATTTGCTCGGCTGTGGCGAACACCGCTTTCATCTTGCCTTCTTTTTGTGAAATAATTGCTCAAATCGACAATCAATTGTTCAGGGCTGGTTAAATACCCTGTGCTCGTGCACGACGAGGGCTTTAACAAGCTTGGTTTGAGTTATCGGCAACAAGGTACGTGCTGCTTATTGGAATAGCTTTAGCTTTAAGTGGGAATCAACGCTAATTAAAGGCACGCTGATTCAATTACGCGCAGATTTGTTAGCGACCTTGATGGAATCCCTCCAAGAACCACGGAATTGAGAATCCTTTTCATCTTCAGCTGTCATTGCAGCCACTGTATCTTTATTATATCGAAGACTGGACCACAACTAATAACTATTATGTAACAAAATAGTAAACATTCCGATGCAGTGAAATCAAAGGTTTATTTTCCACACTACGATGCACCTTTATTTGCATATAGCTCATATAACTTGCTCCAACACTAGCTTACTACAATGGAACGGTCTCATAGCACAACTATAAATTATTTTACCTCGTGTTTGCAATGTAGAATCCAAGCTGACAGGTTTAAAACATTCCCGTTTTCAACACGGAATTACTTACCTCAGTTACTGCACAATCAGAAACTAGCTATGAAACGGTTTATGATTAACTACTGGACTAGAGGTCATTAATTCTGCATTTACAGCGTCCTGGCCTGCAAACACAGCTCCGTGTTATTTACCTGAGGATGTTATGCGCCTCCATACTGCGATTCTGGTTGCTCGAACACACCACCGCCACGCGCAGCGCGTGACTCGGCATACCGTTTCCCTCCGACCGCCAACAAAACCGATATCCAAACCCTAAAGGGAGTTTAAATCACACACACATAGTTAACTAACTACTAATACGCACACAACGTGGGACAGCTCTCCTGTGATGAAAGACAAATATTCTAAATTACACAAAGTTTCATCAGAGAATGCAGTGTTCTCTCAGTGTGGCTCCCTTAAATATATTTTAAGATGGCGGGACCTTTAACAGATTAACCCAAGTTCACCCAGCGTAGGTGACGTTAGTTTACACCGGAAGCGACTAGTTTCAGTAAAAGACTAGTACCTATACCACCTTCATAACGACGTGTTTTGAGGAATGAAAATGTAGCACGTGCGTTAAAGAAATCAGCAATTCTGATTGGACGATGGCGTGCCGCGCACCTCTGGGACAGGAATTAATAAGTGAAGAAGTTTCACCATAAATGATCACTTTTTATAAGTTGCTGGTAGAGATAAACTGCTAGCTTTGTATTACAATATGTGATTATACTTACGTGCAGTAATGGCTTGTGCCACGGCTGCAGTTGCTGTGGTTATATAATAGATTTACGTAAACATCAGGCATCTGTTAGACTGCGATGATACAACTTTGTCCTGATTCCAGTGTGCAGTAGCACCCCCTTCTGATGGTATTCCTGAAAATGTATTACTTAGGGCTATTATCAGTACAGAACTGCGTCGGCAGTGATTGCAAATTAATCGACCAAGAAGAAAATACATGGCCTTACTATATACAGTATTTCGTTCAGCGGAAAAAAATATCCGCAGACAAAGAAAAAATGAAGTTGAACAGTTTGAGACACAGACAAAAATGAACACAAGTAAAAATGTAAATTTTATCTTTCCATATAAGCTACTATAATATACCTTTGGGTACTTGGGAATGTTAATTCTACGTATATTTTTCATCAATATTCTTCTTATCGGCTTCCTTACACCTTTATATGGTCCAAAAGGTGTAGCTATAGGAGCAGGTAAGAGAAATAAAAGCTGTACTGGAGCAATTGTGGAAGATGGGTGGATGTTTTTTTTAATGAAATATACTGTTACTGTTGAAAATACATTATTGTTCAAAATTTTTTAGGTTTATTCACCCAGTGATCAAAGGATGAATAGTATTATGGTAAAGTAGGTAATTTCAGGCATCACTGTGCATGTTGTGTAAACAGCAAGCGTAAACAGATCCATCACCTCACTGCGCATGTGAATATGCTAGCGCAGCCCCAAGAAAAACTGACAAAACTTTCTTCAGGATATTGAAGAATGCTTCCTGGTTATGGATGTAGCAAAACAGTGAGGTATATTCACTTTAATAAAATGACTGACTTGATATGGAAAGTGTATATGTACCTGTGGTGGACCAGTCTGGGCAAAAGTCCAGGGTCTACATTTAATCCCAGTCCAGCTCTGCATCTGGCCGATTCACATGAAATTCTGCCCACCCACTCCATGGGGCGGTCTCTTGGAGCACCTACAGCTCTGGAAGAAAATTGAGACCACAGCACAGTTTTTTGTTTCACTCATTGCTGAATTTAAGGGTGTGTGTCTGTGAACAATGTAATTTATTTTGCAAACTGCAGCCTGGTTCTCCTCTTTCTAGAAAGACGGACAGACAGATAGATAGATACTGTATTAATACCGAAAGAAATTATTCATTAATGAAGGGCTTCTTTCTTGCTTCATAGGACCTGCTTCTAGGAGCCTGATACGAATTGTCCTAGCAGTGCACCTCACACCTGTACTTAATATTAATGTTTCCCATTCCTTTTGAAGGTCACTAGATGTCATCCTCCATTTCATGAGAAACTGTTGGATAAGTTGGCAGTCATCTCCGGCACTACAAAGTTGCTTCTGACCTTTATTGGTCGTTCCCAGTATCTTCTGTTTCACCTTGTTCCTGTGTACTGCTGTCTTAGAAATGCTGAGCTTGGAAGCAGCCAGCCATGCAGCCTCCTGCCAGCAGAACAAGGATTAAACCATTTTTTTTTTTAATGCAGTGAGTGGTCATCTGCTGGCTCCTCATGCTAATAAGCGCTACTGGGAGTCCTTCCTGCCTGCCGATTTTTATGGTGCACCTGGGTTATTGTTGTCAGGGTGAATCAGTAAAGAAATATTATTGCATCACTTCTGGACGGCAGTTTGAATTATTCCCCACATTTATACCTGCTTAATTATTAAATAACCTCAGTAATTTAATAACAGCTTGGCATACACAGACGTCTTCCAACTACACATAACGTCTTCCTCGCGCCCGACTACTTCCGCCTACGAAACTGACACGACGTCACACGCCGACCTACGAACCCCCACACGGGAAAAAGTGACAGACTAGTAGACGGTTTCGGTAAGAATTTAATGATATTATACATATGTTATGTAAGCTGTACCATTGTTTAATTTTGATCGAACAAATCATTGGCTAAGCTGTTAAGGTAGCAGACATAGGAAGTTGTCGATGTCGGCATTCTAATACTCACAGGAGAAGACGGAAAGCTAACCTGCTAACTAGCTAGCTAGCTTGATTTATGTGTTTCCAAATTATGCAAGCATTTTTTATTTTACCCGAAACCAAGGATATTTCACTAGTGTACATTTAAAAACTGTCATGAGGGTATGAGATTTATTACTTGGTTGCAAGAATGTCTGATGACATTAAATGACATGTTAATTCCTGATGGCGTTTGAGCCGGGATACAGTACCGACAGAATTTTTTTGTACAGCTAAAACTTACAAAAAAGCTAGCTCCAAAGCTAGCTGGTTAGGTAAACTAGTAAGTGCGGAGATTATGCGAGTAAATTATTCAAACAAATACGGAACTACTATGTATGCTTAATCCAATTTAGTAAATCTAAATAAGAACGACTGTAATTTTAATAACGTATTAAAAGCTAAACCTTCAGACGAACTTGATGTTTCATGTCTAATTTGCTAGTTAGAGAGCAGTCAATTACACTGACCCCATAAAGCTGCCACGTAAACGTGACGTGCGATAATTTCCATTTATATTCTGCCGGTGTTCAGCTAAGCAAACAAGTAAATTAGCTTCTTTAATCACTTAAAATATTATTTACAAACATTCAATGAAAATGAATTTTGGTATATGACAGCTGATCTCGTTAGTCCCTTCAAATCGTCCCCTAGTCAGTTTGGGTGTTTGACATGATTCTGTTATGATTTTTATTGTTTATCATGATATTGTCATGTAAAACGCGTCATTTAATATTTAGCATTTTTGTCCATCCATTGTGGTAATGGAATTAGTCTCATGTTGTTTATTTAATTATATACTTTTAAACAGTTTCTTGAACAAAGCAAGATTCTAGTTACTTTAAGTAGGTTATCTTCATATATAGGGATATGGTCCAGGAGAGGATAAGAGAAAAAGAACAAGTTTTAGGAAACTAAGACTCAGAGATCAGATACATACATTGAAAAGAAGTTTTTCTTAAACATAGCAGTTTTGGCAGAAAATTGAAAGCACAGAATACAGAAACGGACAAGACACATGTATACACACACACACAAAGAATTCTGTACAATTTTTTACATAAAACTTGATAGTTTTGATATTCATTTATGCAAACATTTTTTATCATACTATTTGCAAGTGGCATCTTTGCCGAACAAGTGAATAAAATATGCTCATGTAGGTAGTGAGGTAATGGTTATATTTTAATATAAATACATTTTAGGTATGTTTTTCTCTGAGATCTGTCCCACTCCTATACAATCTTTAGTTTTTCTTTTTCAAAATATATATCCATAAGATTTTTTTAAATGAAGTAACTGTTGTTTTTGCCTTGTTGTGGCTATGTGAGCTGGAAGTTTAATTGGGTTCATGTTTCATTTGCCAAACAAGTGATGAAAATCTGTTCATTTAGGTGGTGAGAGAATGGTGATATTGTACTACAAATACAGCTTAAGTATGTTTTTTTTCTGAAGTTTTCCCCATTCTTAAGTTAAATTGGATTAATGTTTTATTTGAAACTATGAATGTTTATTGAACGTTCAAAGCTCTAATTTAAAAACTCTTTCCACAGATGAATTACAGTGAGAAACAGATCGGAGGAAGATCCCTGTTGGAGCTGCCTGTGGTATACTGCACAGGGTTTGATCAACGCAGTCTGAGTTTACCCAGCAGTGAGCGTTTGTGTGTTTGAGTGCTTGAGAGCAGTTGCTCTGGGGTGGGGGTTGCGGGTAGGGACGGCTGGACGACGGTACCCCCCATGTCGACCCGCAGCTGCCCAGCCAGTGATGTGGACTGTAGCGTCTCTGAGGAGAGCCGCCCCTTTGGTGATGTGGAGCTGACTGAAATGGGGCCTCTGCTTGAAGAGGTAATGTGTCTGTGTTACAAGGCAGTGGTTTTGTCATGGTGCCCCTACATGAAATGTGTGTGTTTCACAGAATAAAATGCAAAAAATTTTTGCAGGGAAAGTGTGTGGCTTGGGGTGTACAGGGCAGAGTTAGTGGCTTGCACCCTTTGTGAATGTTACTCTGTTTTGCATTTAATATTATATGTGTCTGAAACTTCTTTGGTATACTTGTTACCACCTTGAGAAAAAGAGGAAAACATGAGGATGTTTATGTCACCAGGGGTCCACAGAACAAGGAGGCCCGTCGACCCTTCAAGACACAGAGGATGAGGAGGATGAAGACAGCGTACGGGTGATTACATTGCCTCTGCAGGCCCACCATGCTATGGAGAAGATGGAGGAGTTCGTGCACAAGGTCAAGTAACCACCAGTAGTTTGGGCTTTTTCGTTAACGGCAGCGGAGGGGTCACTCGGTTACACTGGTTTCTTCTCCCCTTACTCGTGACAGGTTTGGGAGGGTCGCTGGAGGGTCATCCCATACCACCTGCTGCCCGAGTGGCTGAAAGACAACGACTACCTTCTGCACGGACACCGGCCCCCCATGCCCTCCTTCCGTGCCTGCTTTGGGAGCATCTTCAGGATCCACACAGAGACGGGAAACATCTGGACGCACCTCCTGGGTCAGCAGATAACGCCCCCTTAAGCCGGTCCTTCTCAGACGTTTCCTGTCATGCCCCCCTCACATACCAACCCTACGCATAATTTTTTTTTTTTATCAGTCATTTTATTTGTCATTTATATATATATATATAACACATTTTAGCACACTATACTGTACCTTACTGTATTGTGCATGCATGATGTTTTTTTGTAATTCTTGCCTTAACTATACATCATAGCAACTACTATACTGTTATTACATAGAATTTACATTGTATAATTACAGTTTTGTAATCTAGGCATGATTTAAAGCATATAACCGGTTGGGAATAGGTGTATATGCAAAGTAAATAGGCACTAAGCATATGCGGTTTTGGAGTATCGCAGTGGGTTGTGGAAACAAGATGCCATAGCACTGTATATAAATATTTGTATATGCATATTTCTTTAACCACAACTACAGTAATCATTATTAATCCCACTGTTATTTGCAACTCTCATACATTCAGTTTTAAATCTGGAATTGCAATAATTGTATTGCGGTTAAATGAAAAGTGATTACGTTAAAATGCCCTATGAGCTTTAAATGAATATTTGTTTGAATCTAGATTATGTGACAGAGTATCCCCTGGTAAGTGGATCTGTGTGCTGAGGTCTGTGTACACAGTTTGAATTTGTCTTGGTGTCCCTGTGTTGCAGGGCTGATCCTGTCCCTGTGTTGCAGGGCTGATCCTGTCCCTGTGTTGCAGGGCTGATCCTGTCCCTGTGTTGCAGTGCTGATCCTGTCCCTGTGTTGCAGTGCTGATCCTGTTCCTGTGTTGCAGGGCTGATCCTGTTCCTGTGTTTGGGCACTCTCACCATGTTGAGGCCCAACATGTCCTTCACGGCCCCACTGCAGGAGAAGGTGGTGTTTGGGATGTTCTTCTTGGGCGCTGTGCTCTGTCTCAGCTTCTCCTGGCTCTTCCACACAGTCTACTGCCACTCTGAGAAAGTGTCCCGCACCTTCTCCAAGTACGTCTCCACCCTCCCTCAGGCATTCTGTTACTCTACATAAATGCATATGGATGGAAGCATTGTCTCCTGCAGGCACATGTGTGTGTGTGTGCGTGTGTGTGTGGTGGAGTCCTTTTTGGGCAAACTATTTTAAGGGGTTCTGACGCAGGGCTGGGTGATATGATGACAGTCCTGGTAATCGATGATATTAGACAGCTAACTTGGTGTTTGTCTGACAGTGACTAACGAGCAGTTATCGGCATTGCTGGGGAGGTAGGCTCAGGCTAAACACCAAGCATGATAACAGAACTTGTGATTTGACCAAGCATATGTTTCCAACACAGTTTAAATGGAAAAAAAAACATTCACAAGCATTGTCCATTGCAGTAATAGTGTTTTAACTGTTCTTCTAAGTTGGGAAGTTCGGCATTGTCAAATCAGAACTATTGACAAAGCAATAGACCATGGGGGACAATGTATACCATTTTAACTTTCAGATTATGTATTTTTATTTATTAATAATATTTAAATTAATATATAAATATAAAATTTTAATTACCTGGTAAAAAAATCTGTATTTTAACATTAGAATCGATTCTCAAAATGAAATGACAATGAAAACATTCAGATTCAAAGAATTGACATTTCAGTATTGATTCACACATCCCCGATTGATATCCTTCTTTAAGTGCAAATAGTGGAGCGTACTCTGGAAAGCGGGTTCAGGTTTACACCTTAACTCCGAAGACATGGTAAATTTATTTTTAGATTCAAAATTTAGTTTTCCAGCTGTAATGTCTTTCAGCAAAAGCCGGCAACACCCTTTGGTTTTCCAGATTTTTTTACTGGAAAATTTTTATTAATTTTTGACTGTTTGCATAAGCACTTCACATTAAGTAGTCTTCGCTTATAGTTACCAGTGATGAATGGATACAGTGCAATTATTAATAAATACATATAAAAATGCACAATCTGAAAGTTAAATGGGGTACATTGTCCCCATAGTATCATGCTTAAAGGCCACTTTACCAGACATGTCTGTGATTTAGTTTTATAATTATTAATGTAGTTGCACTTTGTACAGACACAGTCCAGCTATTAGTAACTCAAAAATATTGGGAGATTCTGTATTTTTTTTTCTTTTTTCTCCTCCTGTGTCCATTTAGCTTTGACTGTTTATCTAAAACAATGAATGATAATGCATGCTTTTTTTAGAAGGGGGGTTGGACAATAATTCATTCTGATATTTTTAAATTAAAATATTGTATATTATTTTTAAGACAATGCCCAGCTGTACTGAGCCCAACCCCCCCTTATTTCCTTATACAGTTTTTTAGCTGACTTGGCCTCCGGTCAGTGATATGGTCTTATGTGGATAAAAGTCTGAATTCTCCCTTGTCGCGGTTCATCCCAGGCTGGACTACTCGGGAATTGCCCTCCTGATCATGGGCTCCTTTGTGCCCTGGCTCTACTATTCCTTCTACTGCTCCCCACAACCACGCCTCATCTACCTCTCTGTGGTGTGCATGCTGGGAATCGCCGCCATCATCGTCGCTCAGTGGGATCGCTTCGCCACACCCCGCCACCGGCCCACTCGCGCAGGTGATCAGCAACCGGCTCTCTTATCAGACAACGTGGCTCCACATAGTTTCATTCTTAATGTCGTGCTTTTTCTTTATTGCATGAAGAATTTTGTTTAAGAACCAGTTAATACTCAGCTATATGATTATGTGCTCCCCCCAGTGGGATCCTGCAGTATTGGCCAAGACAATTCTTCTGGTTGGGATGTGGGAGGGAGCAAAAATGTGGACAGTCTGGGGGGGGAGCAAAAACGTGGACTGTCTGGGGGATCCCCAAGGACTGGGTTGAGAAACGCTGCTCTAATGGTTGTAGCATATATGAAAGCTATTAGCCTTTGTTCTTCTCAATCACAGGGGTCTTCATGGGTCTGGGACTGAGTGGGATTGTACCCACAATGCACTTCACCATCGCGGAAGGCTTTGTCAAAGCCACCACAGTGGGCCAGATGGGCTGGTTCTACCTGATGGGTGCCATGTACATCACAGGCGCTGGGCTCTACGCAGCTCGTATCCCTGAGCGTTTCTTCCCCGGCAAATGCGACATCTGGGTAAGCCTGCCAAGGCCCTCCAGCTTCCCCCGTGTTTCTCACTGATGACAACTCGCACCTTCCTCACTCACTTGGCCTTTTCTCTGCCGTACAGTTCCAGTCACACCAGATCTTCCACGTTCTAGTGGTGGCAGCTGCCTTCATCCACTTCTATGGGATATCCAATCTGCAGGAATTTCGCTATGGGCTGGAAGGAGGATGCACAGATGACTCTCTGCTCTGAATGATGCCTCATCCCCTCCCACAATCTCCCCTTTCAGTGAAGAAGGCCCTGGTCCTTTACCAAGTGCCTCTCAGGTTATGTTATTAACATCACTCCTCCCCTACTTCTTCCTACTGTGGCTTTTTGATGACCGACATTTTGGGCTGATTTGATCTGCCCTTCCAGGCACTGGAAGGGTCCATAATGGTGGTGGGTTATCTTACTGCTGCTGGGTAGAAACCAGACAGGGAGTGGGAGGACATAGGGAGGAGGGTGTTGCAGTGCTGCTTCAGCACTGTATGTTCCATCTTTGTTCTTAGTCCTGAGGGAGTTGCTTTGGTGGGCACTCATGTCTATCACGGGAAAATATAAGAACTGGGGAGCTGCATAAGTAAGTACTGAGGACTTGTGCAGCACAGAGCAAGTATGAAAAACAGAAGCCATAACTAGGGACTGAAGGTGTCAGAGTAGTACTGCTCAGCTCTCATTCCTGCAGCCTGTAGTATTGCAGGAGCTTGTTAAAGTAAATTCTATTCTCTCTTTTTTTTTTTAACTGATTTAGACTGTTTCACTAAAAGTTCCCATTTGGTAAATAACTTAACAAGGCCACTGCTGTGTCCTGCATGAATTATATGAAGAAGCTGGCAGTCTTCTGCTCTATGCTTTGAAGTTCCTATAGTATGTGGCCTTACAGGAATGAGAGTTGAGCAGTCCTTTGGTACACGCTGTTTCTGAGAAAAGGTCCAGGAGCTTGGGTGCTGTTCTTGGCTCGTACTTGCTGTCCCTCATCACAAATGTTCATGGCAAGCTAGTGTAGAGTTAGGAACCAGTCTGTCACGAGTCTCAGTAGTTTGTGACAGCCTCGGTGGTCACAGGTAAGTTTTTAATGATTAAACTGAGTGGAACGATAGCACTCAAGGTGACTAAGTAGCATCAAACAATAAACTCGGTCAAAGTAAATGTGAAACTCTCGAAATTAGCATTGTTTATAGACACATAGGGGTTTACACTTATTACGGTGAACAAGTACTGCTGAACATAAAAGTGAACATATTGCACTTAAAATATGTTCATGCAATAATTGTCTGGTGTGATTTCAATGGTGTTAGGCACACTTAAACGTCTTGATATATTTGACAGATATTTCGATGGCTGGAATTGTGGGTGCAGGGTCATTGCATTCCCTACCCTTGCTCTATCGGTAGTTGTATTTAAGAAAGCATCTCTGCTGAAAATAGCAAAATCCGCAGTATCGGAGGCTTATCATTCACCTTTGTTTAATGTTGAATCTGCTGTAATCGTGTAAAGAGCACACCACTATAAATGTATCCATTCCAGGACATTGTTTTGTAATAGATTTTCTCACGCATACACAGTTCGAACATTCGCTGAACGGTAATGTGACAGATATCGCTATTTCAGTATGGAGCTACACACCTTGCTACTCATCTAACGTTTGTGCATAGTAAATAGAAATGTTGATTTAGTGAAGCTAACTGTAAAATACAATTGAAAATGTATATCGTATATAATTTAAAGGTATTTAAAAAGATCTAAATTTAGTACTCCTGTGCCTTATGCCAATGAAAATAAAGTGTGCTGTTGGGGAGGGGGAGACTTTAATGGCCTGATTAAGTGTTAATGGGAGACGATTCTGGTTTCAGAATTAATGAAGTAGGTCAACCTTATCTCTTTGGAGGAAATGTTTCTATTTTATGATTTTAATGCTTTATACCCAAATATAATAGCTGATTGAAATGACTTAAACCAGTGGTTGAAGTGGAGAAAAACAGGTGCTGGACCTCTCCTTGTTATTCAGCACCAGCAGATGCTGAAAAATGCCAGTACTTTGAAGAGAAAAACGAAGAGGCGCAAATACTGCGTCCCGGCGAGTACGGAACCACTTCAAGCACTGACTGAAACACAACCTTTCCAACTGCTGTAAACAGATTTTAGGATTGTTAACAATGACTCTGTTGTGTGTGCGCACACACGTAACTTTGTGCTCGGTTTTTCGTTGTCGATCAATGAACAACTGAAATACGTTGTCCACATAAGTGTAAACTGTTACATTAAATATTTAACAATAGCAAAACATGGAGCCGTTTCTTTTTTTATAGCAAATCTGAAGTTTCTCCGTTTCATTTAGAAAGCACCGAAGAACATGTTTAATACACGATTGGCGGTGGAGCGTGGTGGTTGAGCATTTGAGCAATGTGGTATTTTTTCTTGTGTTTTTTTTCCCATCGCATTGCGTGGGGGGATGAGTGTTCACGCGCCCCGGCGCGCGCCGAGTATGACGTAGCTGTATTGGTGTTTGCCCGTGAGAACGTTTTCCTCTGTGGGTGTAAGAGGCAGATCCAGTCCGGAATGCTCGAATTACACATATAAAACCCTGAATGTATTTTCGAAAAATAAAACAACAAAAAGCCGCGTAGGTTCGCCTTAGTTTGTGGTGACTTTCAGTGAAAACGTAACCTTAATCTGGTACAGGCCGCCGGGAGAACGTACCAGCATTCGGAGTGGTGGTCTCGACGGAGAATGAAGCACAATCATCGGCTTCTGTAACTGCAAAATTCCGGACGTCTTGATTACTGCAGTTTGTATGTAAATAAACATTTCGAAACTTCCGAATTAGATGTCAAATTAAATCGCTTTATTGCGGCAATCTCGAAAGCTATTTACCTGCATGGGGTTCGTAACTAGCTTGCTAAGTGTTTGCTAGCCCGACAGCTGTGTTGTGAACTGTAGGTGCCTAGTTTTAGGTAGCTAATAATATTACTAACATACTGGGGTGCGAGCTTATCGGTGAACAAACGTAATTTGCCGAATTTCTAGTGCCGTATCTTTCCTTTTGTATTATGCCATCTATATATTGAGTATCTGGTTAGCTAGCAAGCTAGGTGCGCTTCGCGAATCATCATCGAAGGTTTCGCTGAGTTTTATTTATGGACTTGCTTTAGACATGTATGTTTTTTGATATGGGGTTACATAGACATGTAGCTAAATTTTATTGACATGAAATCGCCGCCGTCATAAATGTGGTTGATTATTTGTGGCTGTCAGTATTGTACACATGCATGACATGCATACCTGTTATAGTCGTGTCATACGAAAATATAAATCGGGTGTCTAAGGTTGAAGGACTGTAAATGACCTGTTATATGCGAGCTCAGAGTACCCTGCTTTATGGTTTATGTGTGAGGCTGAATCACCGTCGATACCTTCACCGCACCGAAGTCTGCGCTTATCATGCTTACTGAGGTCATCGAAGAAAACGATGCTAACTTGAATACTAATCTGTCTCAGTGACATTCAGAATGGCCAAGCTGCTGAGAGAAAGATAAAGCTTTTCATTTTTGTTGCTAAAGGTAATACCTGCGTAGTCGCATATTGCATATTCGCTTACCTATATATGGCCGCTTAAGACTTGGTTAGTGAATTTTGCATTAAATATGATGTTTTTAGAAGAGCTCGCAGAACAGACACTAAACAATTGTGGTTGAAGGTTCATAGGTAATATTCATATACCTAAATAAATGGGCGGGATCAGTACTCCTCTTTCATAAGGACTTCTACCTGTCTCTATATTAAATAAGAAATACAATATTATATAATATAAAAAAAATAATGACACACATTAAGAATCTTACATACTTGGTGATTGAGTAGTTTGAGCTTCATAGATCCATGAACTGTCATTACATGGCATTTCTGGTTAAATGTTAATTTTTGCTGAAAGTCCGTAGTTGGCCTTAGTAGACCCAAATGAACAGACAGGACCAGTATTTTTGCTCCACACAGATTTCTCTTCCCTGTCTCTCCATGGCCTTTTGTGGGGCATTAGCTCAGGCCCCGAGGTCAGGTTCCCTGGGCTCCCTTCCCCACACCAGCATGGCCCCCAAAGATATCATGACGAACTCCCACGCCAAGTCCATCCTGAATGCCATGAATGCCCTGCGCAAGAGCAACACCCTCTGTGACATCACGCTGAGGGTGGAGAACACAGACTTTCCTGCCCATCGCATTGTCCTGGCTGCCTGCAGCGACTACTTCTGTGCCATGTTCACCAGTGAGGTAAAAGTGTCCGCCATTGGTCTTAAAACTCCCTCCTCCTCATACCAACCTCTATAGAACCAACATGGCCCCAGCCATCCTGCACTAAACGGGGCCTGGCCTTGGTAAAAGCTGATTGATCCACTTGTTCCCACATTACCGACAAAACCTGGCCCCAAAGACTGGGAAATCTTACTGCTGGCACTCTATGCCGAGTAGCAGATAACTGGCATTTTTAATTCTTTTTTGTTCCTCTTTTGGCTTCAAAAAAGTAGTTCCCTTGTTGGACCTCCTAACCATGCCAGCCTAGAGCCCCCAGAGAAGTTAATCCATCTCTGTCTGCCATCCCACGGTATTAAACTAATGTGTTTATCAGTCACATGTTTAACAATAAGATGTTTTTAAAATAACACTTAGAAAAATTGAATCTAGCGATTCAGGATCTTGTGATTTGGAACCTCTGCAGGGCTGCTTGGGTCAGCAGTTACTGAAAATGTGTTGGGTGGACACTGAGAAAATTAGACTATGAAGCTTCAGGGAAAGTCCACCTTTAGATCACTGCTTATACTTCTAACAGTGGGGAGCTGTATAGAACTGCCGTAGAAGTCAGAGGTCAATAATCAGGAAGTGAGTGTGACTAATTTGGTGACATATAGCGGTGAAATGATAGTAGGAGGGAACTATAAATATTAACTACGAGGTAAAGGTGTGATATTTCAGTGTTACCAGTAGATGGAGCAATCACAAATAATTTTTTTCCCTGAAACAGACACTCGAAATAGGTCATATTTTGTTGTACATAGTTATATCACTTGTTGTTATTGTGACTTTGCAATAACAAGACAAGTTTTAACAGAACCCCCTTCTTGTGTTTTTTTTTAATACTTACTGTACATTGAACAGCAATATTGACCTTGTGGTGGCCTTTCTATTTAATTCCAAAGCACCTAATGCCAAAGGAAGTGCATGAAGAGAATGATAGTGACCAAAATGGCAATGGGTAGAAATTGGGTTGGAGTGTTAAATTGCTTAGTAGATACTTTTCACTACAGATTTAAATTTTTTACATTTTAAAATATCTTTACATTTTCACATTAAAGCATTAATATTTTTACACTTAATACATGTAAGCACAGTTTACTTAAGCAAAGTTAAGTTTGTATATTTAAGAATCATAATGTCTTCCTGACCATGTGCAAGTATTGCTTTAAAATTGAGTGTTCAGCCAAATCCCATACAAATAACAAGAAACAACATCCCTAGAAAAAAAAAGATAAATAATCATTCTGAAGTGCAGTGAAAACATGGCTTGCTTCCTTTGTAAGTGGCTCAGGTTTGAATTGGCTTTGGTTCTTTGCAGCTTTCGGAGAAAGGGAAGTCCTTCGTAGATATCCAGGGGTTGACAGCTTCTACTATGGAGATCCTACTGGATTTTGTTTATACAGAGACAGTTCTAGTGACTGTGGAGAACGTGCAGGAGCTGCTTCCAGCTGCCTGCTTACTGCAGCTGAAAGGTAACTCTAGAACCCACAGTGAAGCTCCCTTCTTTCCATGGAAGAGCTTAACTGTGTTGATTCTGATTTTTTTCTCTGTATATTTTAAGATAACCGCTCTTGTGACTAAATCAATAAATAGACAGTACCCAAATAATCAGTCCAGTGATAGCATCTCTCTTCTCTTTCCTGTACAGTGTTTCCTACCTGATTATCATAAACACCCAGCTTCTTATTTTTTTTGTGTGTGGTTCTGTTTTTTAGTATTTATTACATATGTGTATGTAGTAGGTGAATGCTGGAATTTCCCAAATTACTGCTTGCCACAGTTCCTCCTATGGCAGCTCAGTTTTCATTTGGCTTCAAGATAAGGGTTCAGATATTAGGGTTTTTGTGAGGTTCCTTAGTTAAGATGGACCAGTATTTACTGTGTGTGATTATGCATGTGCAATTAAATGGTATATAAATAGATGAAATTTCTGTGGCAGCTGTAGCAGCCATCTGACTTGTTTTGGCAGACCGCTGAAAGGCATATGTGTGCACATGTATGCATGTCTCTGAATATGTGTGCATGGGTCTTTTCATGAGTCTGTGCTCATCCGTGTGTGTGCATTTCCTCAGGGGTGAAGCGAGCTTGCTGTGATTTTCTGGAAAGCCAGCTGGACCCATCCAACTGCCTGGGCATCCGCGATTTCGCAGAGACACACAACTGCCTGGACCTGATGCAGGCTGCTGAGCTCTTCTCCCAGAAGCACTTCGCAGAGGTAGTTCAACATGAGGAATTCATGCTGCTCAGCCAGGAGGAAGTGGAGAAGCTCATCAAGTGCGACGAGATCCAGGTACTGCTGCCACACCCGATCCGCCCCATGGGAGACGTGAATCTCTGCAGGACAGAGTAGTAGGCTTGTCAAAAGGTCATTTCTATTGGCTGTAAATGATGTCAGTAAACAATATTTCAGAAAGCGACCAGATATCCACCAGTCATATAGGTCAGACAAAGACTATGATTAATAGGCACCTATAATTAAATGTTTTTTTTTTCGTATTTCTTCATGTGGCTTAAGACATTTCATATGCTTGTTTACCCTTCCATACTTTCAAAAAGCACAAAGGAAAATACGTACGTAGCTCCACCCACTTCGCCGCACTCTATTCCTGTTGACACGCCCACTAACCTTTCAAAATGCCACCGGCCTGCAGGACACCCATCCCTGCTCCATGGGGATAGCCATCCTGTTCACCACAGTCCTAAGATAAGCAATAAATAGAGGACAGGAAGTGTAGCCGAGCATGCCCAGCACCCACCTAGGGGGTATTTGCCTTCATTTATTTCTGCAGTTGGGGTGGGTGGGTGAAACATGAATCCAAATCATTTTCAGGTAGGGGGTGTGCTTAAGCCTTATGTATTCTCAGAATGGTTAAGGTAGCAAATGAACTAGCCAAATTAATTATGCATGTGACATATCGGTAAGGCTTTCAGCAGACACTTATTGTGGTGTCTGTGCTTGTCTTATGCTTTTTATGCTTCTTTAGATGAAGTGTTTCGGTTATTCAGCGTCTGGATGAAGGTGGTCGTATAAATGATCATTACAATTATTTTTAGCCAAATAAAACTTCTTAATTAAGAAGAACAGCTGTAAAAGATCAACTTTTAAGCAGCAAATGTAAGATTTATTTTAAGAACAATGGGACTCATTCACCAATATCTCCTGTTTTTTCTTAAATTTGTTCTTGAGAAATGTCCTAAGAAGGTCTTATGAAAAATCTACGTCAGATTCATTATGTGTTCTTAAACCACCTAATTGTTCACTAATGTGTTCTTTTTATGATGAATCCCATTGTTCCCGTAAATTGAAAGCGCTTGACAGTTGTTGCTAATTATGATAGGTAAACGCCCCACCAATCCCGGTACACGGGCATGAGACTGTAGGGTAGTGTGCACGTACAGAAATCGATTACAGAAACTAAGACGAAAAGTTAAGAGCGCAGCCAACAAATTGAACATCTTCAGGAAGTGAACAGCAGAGGAGCTGGCATGTTTGTTAGTCAGCAGTGGATATAAAATAGCACAAATGACATGCTCCATGCTATTACCTATTCAGTAATAATCATTAAAAACAATTATTAATTATTATAAGTGGTCATTCTAATGTTGTAATTAAGAACAATTATTATTTAAAAATGTTTATTTTTTTTTAAATAATAATTTATTCCCGAATCATAACAAGGCATCCCTAACCTCAACCCATAATGGTCTAGCCTGCACGACAACATAAAACATCTATAACCAATTTATAAACCCACAGTACTGTATTGTACACTTTCTATGTCAAATTGCTTTGTCATTTCCCGTCTAGACCTTTTTATATAATGTATAAACCAATTATGCCCCTGTATGTACAAAGTTACTACTGTACGCACTGGGAGCACTACGTTTTATTATTAAATTATTAAATATTATTAAAAATGCTAAATTAACAGTACTAAAAAGTTTCAGAGTTTTTAGAATAAACCAAAGTAGCATCTGCGTGATAATTAGGAAAAAGACGACAAGATGATATGTTTCAAGAACATTAGATTCTATGAAACCTGCTGAATGAATTCTGACTTGATGGTATTATTACCTAGATCTCCATGTCGTCTTTCAGCTTGTTAGAGATTTCTTTCACAAAGCCACATGCTCCCCACCCGTGCCTCCAGCATAAACTGCAGGGGGGGTGTAATTTTAACCTTTATTGGTTAAAATTATGCTGACAAGTTCATTCTTGCTGCTTTCAGAGAGTATTTTGAAGCATGTAATGTTATCGGAGGCAGTATTATGAAAACAACATCTAGAACTAAAACCCTTCTGTGTGTAAAATCCAGTAGGACTGGTGTTTAAAACTAGTTGTGATAAAGTCTGATGCCAGGGCAGCTTGGTTAATGGGACAGCCTGACAAAGGATATTTATTTGTTTGTTTTTTGCATTTCCCATTTTTAGCAATTTATTGGGGGTTTGAACTGCATGGCGCAAAATTTTATAGTTAACCAAAAATGCTGTTCTGGCCAGAAAGAAAAGAGAAGCTATGGCAAACTCTGCACACACACAAGCAAATGGTGTTAATATGTAGGCATACTGGTGAGAAGGCAACCATGACAGGTCACTAGAAGTAGATGGCAGTCCTCACCCAGCATTCTCACACTGGGTAGCGGGCACGGGCGCGAACGTCACATGGAAACCTACCAGTGACATCATCTCTTTGAAAAGGGAAACTATGTACTATACAAATGAGCTTTTGGTCACTGGCAAGTAGGCTGTTATCGTCGATTACCAATAACCAATACTATATCCGGCAAGGAACCCAGTGTCAGCATCTGACAGTGACTAAGCAGCGGTTATCACTTTTGTCAGGGATGCAGGCTTAAGCTACACACAAAAGGTAACTCTTGTATAAAAAGATGTCTACTCGACTGTGTTTTGGAGGCTTACGTGACATTCTACATGATATTGCATGATTATTTTTTTGGAATCTGTGGAATGTAAGCATATAAAATGTACTTGTTGTTACCTTTTGTGTATAGTTATTCCATAAATGTTAAAAATGTTTGAACCACAAGCAGTTTGGGTCTGAAAGATGCTTTACAAAACTTAGAAAGGATACTATAATGTGAAGGATGTTTCTTGCATTATGCCAGTTGTCTGTATTGTTTTTATTTTGAGTTGTTAGTATCTGCTGTGATGAGCCATGGTCCCAGCAGGGACGGGGGGTGTTTTTTGATGTGTGCCCCCGGGGGATTATGCAGGTGGACTCTGAGGAGCCCGTGTTTGAGGCTGTGCTGAACTGGGTGAAGCACAAGCGGAAGGAGAGGGAGCCCTTCCTGCCTGACATGCTGGAGCATGTGCGCATGCCCCTACTCACACCTCGCTACATCACAGACGTCATCGATGCAGAGGTGAGCTCTTCTGGACCATCTCTTCAGTGGAACTTTCTGCAGTGTAGGCGGATGATTAAGCAGCATCCGACCCAGGATCAGAGCTGATTCGTACTTTTGGTATGTTTAGTAATAGCTGTGTCCACAACCGTTACAGTGATTGATAGAAGAGTGCTTTAAATCAGTCAGAGCACCACTGTGTACCGAATTTTGATTCCAGCCACCTACTGAGTAGGTTGTTAAATATTACCTACATGTTGCAACCTCAACAGGCACAAGCTATATTATGAGTAATATGTGCCCCTTGCAGCCTTTGCACTTTTATTGTTTTCTTAAATTATTATTGTTTTTAGCCCCTAATCCGATGCAGCCTTCCTTGTCGAGACCTTGTGGACGAAGCCAAGAAGTTTCATTTGAGGCCAGAATTAAGGAGTGAAATGCAAGGACCTCGGACTCAAGCACGACTAGGTACAGTGTTTTGGCAGTGGTGTACGTGGGAAAGTCAACCTGCACCCAGTGTAATAAGAAGTGAATTAATAGCGTATATCATGAGCAGAATACCATGGTTGCAGGAGCAAAAGAGGTTCTTCTGGTGATTGGAGGATTCGGCAGCCAGCAGTCACCTATCGATGTTGTGGAAAAATACGACCCCAAGACACAGGAATGGAGCTTTCTTCCAGTATGTGAAGTTTAACATCTCCCAACCCGGTAACCATACCTCAAAATTGCACATTCCTGTTAATGTACAAAAAAAAACAGGTAAAATCTGTTTGTACTTAACGGAAGATTGAAAAGAAGTCCATTACAAACAGCATGCCAGAAGGAAATAAGCTGAGAAAATTATTAAATTGATACAGCTGCTTTGGTCAGCATTACCAAGTAAATAAAATATTACCATTATAGAATGTCTAATCGGCAACATATAAATTGAAAATAAAGCCAAAATAGATCTTTAGACGACGCCACAAAATACTGGAAATGTAATTTTGACAAATGGGAAAGTGGAGTTAAATTATTAACTGTTATTTTTAATGCTAATGACATGCTTATTGGTAATGAAATACTCTGGAAAAACAGATTTTTGAGAGCCTCAGATTTTCAAAAAATAAATCATTTATGAATCTGACAGGCTCTTTCATAGAATACAATCTGTATATATTATGACCTTGACCTCATTTTTCGACTGGAGAGCCAAGTGTTGTTAAGATAACAGAAAGGAGAATTTGCCCCCAGTGCTGTTTCACCATACTGCTTTCCAAACGTGCCCCTTGAAAGCATTTGTCTCCGCAGAATATTGCCCGGAAGCGCCGCTACGTGGCTACTGTGTCGCTAAATGACCGGGTGTACGTCATCGGCGGCTATGACGGGCGGTCTCGCCTCAGCTCCGTGGAGTGTCTGGACTACACAGCAGACGAGGACGGGGTGTGGTACACGGTCGCCACCATGAACGTGCGGCGTGGCCTAGCAGGGGCGACTACCCTGGGAGGTAGAGCACTTTTGAGCACTGTAATCACTGCCTTTTTGTAGAAGGCAGTTACTGTGAAGCGAGATTTGTATATTCCCTATAAATACATGTCTATGACTGGTAGCAGTGTGGAAATTAGTAAAGTCTGTCGGCTTGACGGCTGTTTTCAGTCATGATATTTCTTATTCACAGACATGATTTACGTGGCTGGGGGGTTTGATGGCAGCCGTCGCCATACCAGCATGGAGCGATATGACCCCAACATTGACCAGTGGAGCATGCTGGGAGATATGCAGACGGCCAGAGAAGGGGCTGGGCTGGTAGTTGCCAGTGGACTCATTTACTGCCTCGGTATGTGGTGGGTGCTTTTATCGTTAGTGCGCATCTGGAATGCACCAAAGTGCCTAGAATTAATTCTAAATGTGGTTTCTTGTGATTTCAGGGGGCTATGATGGACTGAATATACTGAACTCGGTAGAGAGGTATGACCCTCACACGGGACACTGGACAAACGTAACCCCTATGGCCACCAAACGCTCAGGTAAATTTGGTGTAGGGCGTCATGTGTCTGGGAACACCTGCTGGTTACTCCTGGCTAAGTGGCTAACTCCTCCTGGTGTCAGGGGCCGGCGTGGCCTTGCTCAATGACCACATTTACGTCGTGGGAGGCTTCGATGGCACGGCCCACCTTGCTTCTGTGGAGGTCTACAACATCCGGACAGACTACTGGACCACTGTGTCAAGCATGACCACACCGCGCTGCTATGTGGGAGCCACCGTGCTTCGAGGCCGGCTGTATGCCATCGCTGGGTAACGTAGCACATATTTTCTCATTCACAATAGTATCTTCATTTCTATCGCCAGCTTAAGCTGCTCCATTCATTTTTAAGAGTGAATTTTTTAACACTGATCAGTGGCACAGGCCAGTTCAGACCCATCTGACACAGTATAAGAGGGAATGAGATTTTTTGATGCCACACTATAGGACTGGCAGACTGTATCTATGCTGCACCCCTCTCTTGGTCCCTAGGTATGATGGGAACTCCTTGCTCTCCAGCATTGAATGCTATGACCCCGTGATTGACAGCTGGGAGGTGGTGACGTCCATGGCAACCCAGCGATGCGACGCTGGCGTGTGCGTGCTGCGGGAGAAGTGAACAATTCAGGAACGCCACCTGCCTCACGGCAGAAAGGATAAACGATCTGATCAGGCACAGAGCATTGTTGGATGACGCATGGTAGTAGGTCCTGCCATGAAATGTGTTTGTTCTGTGTTGGAGGTCAATGTGCTCTCTTCCCTAATCTGCTTCCACTCCAGCCAGCACCTTTGTGGGACTCCCTGCTTCCCCTGTGCACTGATGTAATGCTGTCATGAGATTCCTTTTGAGAACAAAGGGGAGGAGAGCTGCGTGTTGAGCTTGTTCAGTTTCATTCCCTAAGTTGCGGTCCTCTCCAGCACCATGCAGCCCCCACGTCTGGCCTTTGCTGAGTGGCTGTCCTAGATTCTGAATCAGCTCTGTGTGTCTTTACTGCCCTCATAAAACACGACAGCCTTGAAGCTCAAGCCTCACTCGTGGAGACAGACTCTAGCAGCCGTGCCCTAGGACCGCTGTTCATGTAGGACTAGATGTCACTGATCATTTTAATGTTTTTTTTTTATTTTTAAAAACAGTCGTCATACTTCTAAGTATGTGACATCCTCAGCTGTGTCTTTCTGGGTTGTGAGCAAATTCGTATTAATTTTTTTCCATGTAATTGTGCTGGGGTAGGATTTAAAAATAAATGACGGAAGTAAATAATGCTGTGTTTGCATTTTGTAAGATGAAACTACTTAAAGGCAGATAGTTGCAGATGAACTCTGCTTTGCTGCAACAACAGTGAACCGGATTAAAACTTTCAGCTATATCTAGGGAGTTATAGGTATTGGCCATATACTTGGAAGCTGATTCACTAGTTGGAGAGTGAGCTGGCCATCCTTACATCCTTATATAATAAAGTTCTGATGTGGACACCTCTATGCACACTTTTCATATTAACATTACCTACATGAAATGGTGGTCTGGCCACTCTGTCTCCCCCCCCCCCCGGAACAGGTAACCTGCCAACAGTTATGACCTGAGACCAGGGTGCTGCATTCTACGAAAGCACTGAGCAGGGGACGTTAAGTCATGTGCCACAACATGGATGATATATGTTTACTTTGTACAATAGTATTTTATGGGCACTATCTCTTGTTTATTATCTTGTTATTGTGCTATATGGATTAGTATCTGTTTGTTATCCTCCAGAGACTGCATGAAATCTGAGAATGGTTGCATCCTGTGCATTTCTGCATGCATTCATCTTAATACTAAAAAAGAGGTTTGGTGTAACACTGGCCTCAGTTGACCTGTGAAAATGTATAATAGTGTACAATATACATGTAGTATATGGTATCTAACAGGCATCTTCATCAGAGCTGAAAGTACAAGAGGCTACGTTGCTTACCTTGCATCTCCTTTGATAAGCCTATTGCACTTTTGTAAATATGTGAACTATATGACACAATATAAGGTACCAAATTTAGTCCTGAGTCATTCAAAGAGAAAGCAGATATGGGAAATTTCTTAGCAAGGAATCAAGGAAAAGTGAACATATGCATTAAAGATGTAGGGCTGAATGTGTACTATTTTTCTGCGTTCTTATTTTTGGTCAATATTTGTAATGTTGAAAGACTGCATTTTTTTCCACAAACATCATTTACGGATCAGTAATTTAAAGGTGGTCTGTAAATGTTTTTAACTTGACAAAATTCCTTATAGCAAAGGTGGTTTCATGGGAGTATTGCAATAAAGCAATGTCACCCCTGGGGAACATGGTCCCTAAACCAAAATGTCACCCCTGGGGAACATGGTCCCTAAACCAAAATGTCACCCCTGCTGCTCACGTGCTGCTGTTTTGAGGTCTGCTGTGTACTACACATAGATTTCCTGAAAGTGCAAAAACATGTTTTAAGTTTTGTCTATGTTGTGGTTGCTTAAGATGCAAGGCTAAGTAAAGGTGTTCTTTTGAAATGTAAAATTCTTACTATGAATAAATTTCTGCTACTTTCATATCTGTTACTTAAAATGCTTTAAAATTGTGATTTGGTATGAATTGGACTAGTGATTTTATGACCCTGGAGAAAAAAATCAACATACACAACCAAAAATATATACTTAAAATGTGGCACATACTCTACATATAGACCATAGCTTCATTTTATGTTTTGCCAATGTATGTCTCTTTCCCCATAGCTATTAGTATTTACAGGTATATAGATTGTAGCTGTTTCTTCATAGATTATGCATGTTTCTATATAACCATGAATACACCTCTAATTTACCAAGTTTTCAAATGAATGATTTTTTAAGCATTTATATTACGAGTACATGTATTATAAATAATATGTTAAATATGTAAAATATTATACACTACATAAAACAGTATTATGCAAGATGAATTTAAACTGTCGTTATAAATGCTACTTCCCATCCAACGTGGATACAGCTTAATGCCCTGTGATGCCTGGGTCAAGTTCCTCTCTGACCAGGATAAAAGGTTTGAAGATGGATGGATGGATTATGAACACTTAAGGCAACTTTTATATCCCGCCCCTCTCTCGTTCTGTGTGTGTGTATCTCAACTAAGTATAAATTAATAAACAATCCTCAGCGCACAACTAAACCTATAATTCTCTCAATCCGTCTGTCATGTACAACCACTTACTGAAAAACAAGGTTTAAGCTTAAAAAAATGTGGCATTTAGATGATACGCCCGAACACCCCGACAAAGTTAGAAAATAAAATGATAGGTCTTCACCATGTCCAATCATGCTATTAGATTTCATTTCTCTGCGCCAATAGAAATTGCCGAAAAAGTTTTTTTTTATTTGACCTGTACCAATTGTATTGTTCGGAAGGCGGAGTATTTCGATCGCAATATAAAATACCTTCTTACGGTTGCGCCTTGGCATTGCTGTGTTGGCGTGGACTCGTTGCATGTCTGAAGTCAACGGGGTTCGCTGTCGTTTAAACCAGACCTTATTAAAACTGTTTGTCAAGCGATACATTTCACCAGCCTGAACATTCAAAATGGTAAGTTTTAAAAAAGTCTTATTTACATTCTAAATAAAAAATTGAAAACAATGAAGTGGTATTCTGATTGTGCAACCGGTAATCTTAGCAAAAATGTAGTCATTGCTTTGAAAGTTTTTTTTTGGCGTTCTTAAATTTGTCTGCGTAATTTGCTTGAAAATGTTAATAGACAAATAATTTCCTTGATTTTTATTGTGCTACTTGCTTTTTACCACTTAAGGTGGACCTTATGGAATTTATCCAGCAAATACTTATGGTTAAAAAAAGAAAAACATTCTGATTTATGTGCGCTTAAGCCATAGTTTTCCGTTGGTGGAATTCGAAGAATGTCAGTCCTGGGCCACAATAGCCTCTAGTGATGAGGAAGTGGGTAGGTGGGGGTTATTTCACGGCTGGGGGAAGGGTGGATACGTCTCAGCGACTTTACAGGTACAGTCGCCTGTTTCTCTCGGTGTTTTTAGGCCTGTTCGTATTTCACTTTTCCGCGTGCTATACGGTCCGCGCACAGGATGAGTGACGCAAATTTCGTCATCAATGGCGTCCGGCGGACATTGCGCGATTTCCAACTGAAGTTCCCGTAATTCACGCCCTTGATGTGATTTCATAGGCCGGAGGGACGTAGGTGCACATTGTGATTGGCTGTAGAAAGATAAACCCGGACCGTGACCTAATCGAGTGATCGTGAACTGTCTAGATTCCGCCTTAATTTGTGGCTTAGCCGCGTCAACAGGGTAGATTTGTTTATTTCACCTCAGTTTATAGTTAACAGCGCCCGATGTACGACTGACGGCACACAAATAATACTGTCAACTTTAATATGGCAAATTGACTACAGCGATAAATGGTAACGACATTGAAAGAAAGTTGACGGATGATCGTTTTTCAGTCTGTAATCCATATTAACATGTAAACGCAACACAAATGTACACCAATGTTTCATGTGTTAAGCCTATTAACTGACATCACGATAGAGTTAATGTGTTGGGGGTATCGTTAACTGAGAGGATAGCCAACTTGTATCATTGAAGGTTGCCATTGTAAGCTTACTACAGATCTAGACAGTGTAGCAACGACTACTGAAGAGACATACTTGCATGGGTGCGAAAAGACGTTTTGAGCTCGGGGTGCTCAAGGACGGACCGGCCACTAAACTTAAGTTCTTTTATATCATCGGTAGCTATCGACAGTTATCAGCGACAGTCTTTCTGGGGAAATAATCATTAAGTCGCCTCTGAGCAATTCTGAGATGAATAACGCTAATACCGATTTGCCAACGTTTTTCTTTGACGAAACCGACAAGAGGGAGTGTTTCAGCACTAGAGTCCAGCCGGTATTATCAGCCGATGTGCGCTAATTGGTATCGGCGTTAATGACGGCAGATAAATGACAAAAAGAGACAGGCGGTGACGGATGCCTCCACCGTGTTTTAAGTGTTACGTAGTTTGTCCACCAGAGGGCACACCGGAACTCATGTCGCCAAAACGTGTTCGGAACATACATTTGATTCTAATTGATCATAACTTTAATGTATTTTGTTGTACTTTTGTTCAGAGTAGTATTTATGACAAAGTTTTGGTCTATTTTTAAACTGCATTACGTCATGTCTAGTGAGGACGTTTATGTGACAACATATACATGTTAGGGAAAATCTTTGTAAGTGCCTCTACTCGGCACTTTTACTTTCAGCGCTACTAAGTAAAATTTTAATTACTTAAGAGTGGTTGGGGTTTAATGATGGTATGTCTAGTTCAAATAACTGTGAACAAAATATAATGAATGAAGGTGTCATAAGATATGCCGTTCACTGGGTTCTTGGGTAGCAATGTTCCATGTACATTACATATATTTATTAGTTACACTCTTGGTGAGGGCACAACAATGAAATCACTGCTGACCATGGGAACCAGTGACCTAAACCCCGAGCTACATACTGCCGTCTGAGGCCTATTCACTGAGTCAAATGCGAAGGCAGAATGAGCTATGATTAACCGGCCATTCCCCTTGTACCCCCCACCCCCATTTGTGTATACTAATTTAGCGTGAGTGCATCTCCATCCACGTGGGCCAGGCAGGAGTGCAGATTGGCAATGCATGCTGGGAGCTGTATTGCCTGGAACATGGAATCCAGCCTGATGGAAATATGCCAAGTGATAAGACGATTGGCGGTGGAGATGACTCCTTTAACACTTTCTTTAGTGAGACAGGCTCAGGGAAACATGTTCCACGGGCTGTGTTTGTGGATTTGGAACCATCTGTTATTGGTGAGTGTGATTAGAAATGGGTCAAGGACCAGGGATCATCTATCTTTTCACACATGGAAACCAGTGCTGGTTGGTATAACGGTTCATACGGAAAACTATTATTGGTATTATATGAATTTTTATTGTACCGCAATACCGGTTTAGAGTACACAACGTTTGGAAAGTGGCGCAGCTGGAAACTGTTTAAGGGATGACCTTTTTCACTGCTGTACCACTAAAAATGTAAAAATTATGTGCAATTTACATTTATGTAAAGTGAACTCCATGGATACAGAGCAGTTCTGCATTTGAATAGTGATCTATGGAATATGTGACTTTGAAACCTTATTTTCAGATGAAGTCCGGAGTGGCATATATCGACAGCTCTTCCACCCTGAGCAACTCATTTCTGGAAAGGAAGACGCAGCCAATAATTATGCCCGTGGCCACTACACTGTGGGAAAGGAGATCATCGACATGGTGCTGGAGCGTGTCCGCAAACTGGTAGGATGTAGCGTTAACTGGACCTGTGTATGGAGATCCTTCAGCACTTTCAAGTAGTATTGCTATTAAGATTTGTTCTTTTCTTTGCAGACTGATCAGTGCACAGGTTTGCAAGGATTCCTCATCTTCCATAGCTTTGGAGGTGGAACTGGTTCTGGGTTCACCTCACTGCTCATGGAGCGTCTGTCAGTTGATTATGGCAAGAAATCCAAGCTGGAGTTTGCCATCTATCCGGCCCCCCAGGTGTCCACAGCTGTAGTTGAGCCCTACAATTCCATCCTGACCACTCACACCACCCTGGAGCACTCCGATTGTGCCTTCATGGTGGACAATGAGGCCATCTATGATATCTGCCGCCGTAATCTTGATATCGAGCGACCTACCTACACCAACCTCAACAGGCTCATTGGCCAAATCGTATCTTCCATCACAGCCTCACTGCGCTTTGACGGTGCCCTAAACGTGGACCTCACGGAGTTCCAAACTAATCTTGTCCCCTACCCCCGCATCCATTTCCCTCTGGTCACCTATTCGCCCATTATATCTGCTGAGAAGGCCTACCATGAGCAGTTGTCTGTCTCAGAGATCACAAGTGCCTGTTTTGAGCCCTGCAATCAGATGGTGAAGTGTGACCCACGCCATGGCAAGTACATGGCCTGCTGTATGCTGTATCGTGGGGATGTGGTGCCCAAAGATGTCAACGCTGCCATTGCCAACATCAAGACAAAGCGTTCCATCCAATTTGTGGACTGGTGCCCCACAGGCTTTAAGGTAAATTATGTTTCCACTCTCCTAGAACAAGATCAAACTGCTTCTTTTCAAATGGTCTAAACTCTGTTTTCCTACAGGTTGGTATCAACTATCAGCCTCCCACAGCGGTGCCTGGTGGGGACTTGGCCAAGGTCCAGAGGGCGGTTTGCATGCTCAGCAACACCACTGCCATTGCCGAGGCCTGGGCACGTCTGGACCACAAGTTTGATCTCATGTATGCCAAGCGTGCCTTCGTCCACTGGTACGTGGGAGAGGGCATGGAGGAGGGGGAATTCTCAGAGGCAAGGGAAGATCTGGCAGCTCTAGAGAAGGATTATGAGGAAGTGGGGGCAGATTCAACAGAGGGAGAGGAAGAAGAAGAATACTGAATGTCTCTAAGCAATATCTTTAGTGCACTTGAAGCACATAACAGGATAGTAATGGTATTTCTGTCAAGTGATGTCTTGTGCGAAAGAAAATGTCTGTTCTTG